CTTCCTCTATTGCAGCGAATTTGTGCGCGCGGGCCAGCACCTCAGCGTAGTTGTTCCCGGGGTTCCTTTTCAAATCTAGATAGAGGTCCCCGGTTGCCAACACATTGGTGAAGAGGGTGATGCCGGTGCTCTCCGGAAGATCCTCCACCTTCAAGGTCTCGTCCCTCCACCTGATCTGGAAAACAGCTATGGATTCTCCCTTATTCTGGTGGACGTTCGTCAGCCAACTGAAGTGTTTTTTGGGCGCGGAGCTGGATGCGATCTGAGCCATGAACTGCCGGGATAGTTGTTCAAAGTTGTCGATGGACCTGGGCCTGAGCTGCCTGAACCACTCCTGCGCTGGCCCTCTAAGGGTGCTGAAGAAAAGCCTGCAAACAGCCTCATCGGAGGCTCGCAACATGGAGAGCGTCCCTTGATAAGATAATAGGTGGGCTTTGGGGTCCCCGGCCCCGTCATAAGTTAGTGTTCCAGGGGGCCGAACATCCCTTGCAATGTCTACCGCCATGACCCTGTCGGTGAAGGGGGGTGAAAGTGCAATCCTGGGCAGGGCCTGTGTGTTCTCCGTCCGTCGACTCAACTCATTTATTTGCCTCTGCATGTCCATGAGCATGGCGTCTCGTGGATCAGTCCCAACGGACGCGGGGGTTATCACTGCCAAGGTGTTCCCCCTTGGTGCAATGCCATGATTGTGCTGGCCATGGTATACCCGGGCCTCTGCCGTCACGCCACCCACCACGGAGGTATGTTCTCTAGCCGTCCTTCCATCGCAGGGCATGACCGGCGTGGGGTCCTGGACCGTGTGGCACTGTGTTCCCCTGAAGGGCCTGGCTCCCGCGGCGCCCCCATACCCGGAAAGCGGGTGTTCTGGGTTATCCTCGAATGGACCGAACGGCGGGGATTGCTATTTTCGCCGGTGTGCTCGGCAAAAGACTGCACGGGACAGACGGGTGAGAGCGGGGTGCGCTCGGTGTTGGAAGTGTACACATGCTCTTCCTCCCGCTGGTCCGCCAGTCGGCGGATAGTATCCGCGATATCTCTTAGTGCGTTGGGGTCTCTACGGAGTTCCTGGGGAATCAGGTCGGTGAGTATTCAGAAATCCCCCCGGCTCTATAGACTGGTGGATTAGGCCCCCGTTGCCTGGTTACGGCCCCTCCTGCTGTGAGCCAGTCGTGACGATAGGTCTTGAGAATTGCCCACGTTATTAGTGTTCATTTTGTTTGTTTTGCGGTTGTCTTAGAATTTTTAAATGGAGAGCTTGATTAGAAGAGCTTCTTGATCAGTTTCCCACAGACGGCGTCAGTGTTGAAGTTTATTCCCCTCAACCCGTAGGCCCAACACGTAACCTGGGGGTTTCGAATGGGTAGAAGGCAAAACGAACTCGCTAAACAACGGGGGGGGGGGGGGGGGTGGTTTAATAACTATTTTAATCACTGTAACGATTACAAGCCAAAGGGGCGAACGTACTGAAAATATGCTACGTGCTGCTGATGCTATTACAATTCAAGAGTAACGCAGTGTGAACCCCTTACAATGAAATAAATGCGACTATTTATAGTACCCCATGGTGGTTGGGGGGCTGACGTGGCCGGCTGTGGGCGACATAATCCCAACTACCAAATCTCCAGCATTAAATGCGCTTCCCGCCAAGATCTTGGTTTCCTGCCATAGCGTGTGGGACGTCCGTCCCCTAATCTGGATTCAACCCTCTGGTGGCAACCTGGGCCCTTAAGTATAACCCACAAGACGTTCGTGCCCTGGCCCTTGGGCCCTTGAGACCTGGTTATGTTGGGCTACGTACGTCCTCTGGTCCTTGGACCCTGAGGCCTGGCTATGTCGGGCTACGTACGTCCTCTGACCCTTGGACCCTGAGGTCTGGCTATGCTGGGCTACGTACGTCCCCTGGCTCTTGGACCCTGAGGCCTGGCTATGCTGGGCTACGTACGTCCCCTGGCCCTTGGATCCCGAGGCCTGGCAATGCTGGGCTACGTTCATCGCATGGTTCTTGGGCTCTAGGGGTTGATGGGCCGGCCCTGGAGGCCATTAACCCAACAACATCTTTCCGGTATGACATCTTCATTTTAATAGTTTATATGTTGCATGCATTTTATCATTATGACACATGCATTTTACAAATTCATGTATTGCATTTTAGTAGTAAGATTCCATGTGCATCGTAGAAGACAATTTGATGCATCTTATCGTTATGACATTTGCATTGTATAGTCAATTGACATGTATTCAAATTTCATGATGTCACATTATGCATAATATAAGAGAAACATGTTTTAAACGGTATATTAGTAGAAGTGCATAATATAAGAGAAACATGTCACATTATACGAATTTGCATTTTATCATTATGACATGTGCATTTTAGAAGTTCGTGTATTGAAATTTAGTAAGATGATATATGTGCACTTTAATATTTCATACTGCATCTTATCATTATGACATGTGCATCTTAGAAGTTCTTGTATTGCACTTCAGTAAGAGTATTATAAGTGCACCTTAATAAGATGGCATGTGCATTTTAGAAGTTCACACGGTGCATTTTAATTAGATGACATATGCATTTTAAAAGTTCATATAGTGCATCTTATCGTTATGATATCTGCATTCCATATTCAAATGACATGCATACATAATTCAAGGAATTACAAAATGCATAATATATGAGTACCATGTTCTAAATGGTAAAAAAAATCATATTGAAATTACAAGAAGTTTGGAAACACAAAATTGTTAAATTGATATCACACTAGAATGCATACGAAATTCAAAAACTTCGACAGAATCCACGACTTTTCAAATTGTTGAATTAAAAATTTAAAAAACCCGACGTGCACACGAATTCCATGGCGACGTCGAAATCCACGGCCTTTGAGAACTAATGTTCTCCCTAGACATGCCAGGATCCATGAGTTTGAATAGAAGAACATCAACCACATTCTGTTAAATTTGAGATACAGATGGAGAAAAAAATAAGATGGAGATGGAGACGCAACCAGATATAGAGATGGATGCATATACGGAAAGGTAGATGTGATATGGTGAAGCTTTGATCTGGAGAGAAGATAGTCGAACATGCACGAAAGGAAATAACTGGATGAGATTAGTAATGTGAGTAAACGTGATTTAATTTCCAAATATAAAATAAACCTAAAAGACTATTAAACCCTCAATTGTCTAATCTAATTGAGATGTAAGACACAGATGATCAACCAAAATAGAGAGCTAGGATTAGTTTGTAGATTAGTAAATTAAGAAGAGTTTGTATTTGATCTCTAATATACAGACACACACACACTTAATATATGTATTTATAAGTAGATAATAAGTACACAAGTAGAAATAATAATATAACAAATATATAATATAATGTTTATAGTATATAATATATAAGCATATTACTATAAGATGAGTAATACACTTATATTTAATACTTTAATATACGTAGTATATAAGTATATATTAAGTAGACGTAATATGTAAATATAAGTAAATAACAATAATAAAATAAGTAGATAATAAGTATATATTAAGTAGATATGAAGTATATATTAAGTAGATAATAAGTATATATTAAGTAGATAATAAATTTTAGTAATATAATAGATGTATTTATAAGTAGATAATTAATATATAAGTAGATATAATAATTGTATAAATATATAGAGAGACAATTGGAGAAGATGAAGATGATTAAGAGTATTAGAGAATAGAGAGTAGGAAGAATTGAAAAAGATGTGTAGAAAAATGTTTAAAAAATAGGAGTATTTATAGTTTTTTATACCCCACCCCAAACCCCCCTGGACCCCCTCCAAGCCCTCCAACGGCTATAGAGCCATTTGGGAGTTTTCCCAACGGCTAGGAGGAGCTATTAATTTCTTTTTAAAATCTGACCGTTAGAGGCCCGGACCGGCCGGGCCGGTTCATTATTTGAGGACCCGAAGCCCACCCCGAAAAATGGCGGTTCGGGTACATTCCGCCTGGCCCGGAACCAGGCCTCGGGTCGGGCCAGTTTAGTACAGTATCGGGCCGAACCGGTTTCAGTCCGGTTGACCCAGCCCGAGTCCATCCCTATGCACAGTTACCGATTAAACATGAAATCTGAACTACTTTTTCTAGTTCAGGGTACGATTTGAACATTTTTTGGTTCAGGAACTGAATTGAGCTTACTGAACACGTATGATGACCTACTTAACCATTTAGCCTAAATTGAAATTTATGGATAGAAATCAATCTAATTTTAAATATTTCAAAAAAAAAAGACTTATATGACTTTTGCGCCCCTTACTTGATCCGCCCACTTACAATTACCCCTCCAACCAGTTACATTTTCCTAATTGAAATTTATGGACAGAAATCAATCTAATTTTAAAAATTTCAAAAAAAAAAAAAGACTTGTATGACTTTTGCGCCCCTTACTTGATCCGCCTACTTACAGTTACCCGTCCAACCAGTTACATTTTCCCGTTCGACCAATATACTTACGCGATCCGACCAATTGAAATTACTCGACCCGAACCCCCGCCATACACTACCAACCACCACCTCCGACCAAGACCTCCAAGCACCACAGTCTGTGACCACCGTCCCAGCTTGCCAGCCCAAACTTCCCAAAGATTGAGAAACTCACTGTAACAACTTGAGTGCTCGATGAGCTTGCCGAATGGCAACATCAATTGCTCCAACAATGGCGGGACTCCATCGAAGACAACGATGAAACCTCTGCTCAGATTTAGCGAAAAAAGGTTCAATGTTGCCGCTTCAAAGAGCAGCTGTTCATCTGCAATCGAGCATTGAGAATGGAGGAAACTTCATCGGCGATGGAATCTTGGCCGATTAAGTCCCTTCCGTCTTCACTCATCGTTCCTGTCACATGGCACCGGAGTCTCCACTTGAACTCCCAGTGCGGCTAGCCAAAGAAGGAAGTGGAACTTTGGATGAGTATGTGATTTAGGGTTCACGATGACAAGTCGGGACATTTTGAATATTGGCTAATGGCTATCATTTTCGGTTAGTTCTTTGTCCCAAATAAAAATGGTCCTACATTTGTCCATTTAAAAGCTGATTGTATTACTCATGTCATTATTTCATATATAATACAAACACATAAAAGAAAAAGAAAGAAATAAGAGATGAATGAAGGAACCAAATTTATGATCCAAGCAGCTTTTTCCATCTGGCATAGCCTAGGACAATGAAGAAGAGAATGATACAAGCAATTGTGATACCGGCAACAAATGGCCAAAATACCCCTTGTATGTTGTATAGGGTACAAGGGATGTTCATGCCAAACCAACCCGCTACAAGGGTCTCCACGGCTATGGCAAAGGATGCAATGGTCAATATGAGCTGCAGTTGAATCAGTTCATTCCGCTGATTGTCTAATTGGATGTTGACATAGTCCTCTGTGTCATCTATGTATTCGCGCACCTGAGGTTTTTTGACAACCAAACTCACAGTAAGTTACTGCCAGCCAGTCGGGTTGGGAGTCTGGATTATGTCCAACAAGACGACAAGACCGAAGAAATACTTACAGATAATATTTTATTACGTGTGCCTTCCAACTGCATGAAGTAAGCCTCCAGCAACATTTCAAGATCTTCCACGTCATCATCTAAGCAGTTGCTCACTAAGCTTCCACTCCTGGTGGAACCTAACCTTCTGAAATTTGGCACCATGGGAGTAATGGCATTTGAACCCGTAGTGGCAGTTCCCATTAGCATTGCTTCAGATTGTTGATTCTGAATCGATTTCCTACTTAAGTACAACTGGGCCATGTCTTCATTATCATCCAAAAGGTGCTCAATCTCATCTCTGACCTACCAACCATCACAAGTACTACTCTCAATTAGCACACAAAGGTTATAAAAGACCAATGTGAGACATTGACATGAGCAGTGGTATATGACCCAGTAAAATATCTGTTCGTCCTTAGACAGCTCACCAACTACCAAGTAAAGATCATTAGAAGTTGCCATGGTGTGCCTCATACAGTGACATTTTTTCCCCTGAACGTTAGCGTGTGCTTGGAACTTGCAAAATGCTTGGAAAAGAATATATAGGTGTGATTTTGAAGGATAGAAAATGTGATTTGTTCCAAGTTTAAACTCAGTAGTACTTTTCTTCTTTATATTTGTTCAAACTCAGTTTTATTTATTTATCTATTTCTATAATATAAAGATTAAAAAATCTAAATACATGATAAAATTTTTAAGACATTAATCATATTTCATTTTCCATTGCCTTTTATTCGTAAAAACCAAACACACACACAAAAACTTCGCATAGCATCCCTCACACCTAAAGCTTCTGGAGTCCAAATGGGTATATTCAATCCATTATTACTATAGTTCAGGTCTGATTGTGCATAGTCCTGACATTCTGCAGATTTACCAGCTTACCATTCTTTTCAAAGAAGTTGTTTGTAAACGATGTACGAGAGACGAGAGAGAGAGAGAGAGAGAGAGAGAGAGAGAGAGAGAGAGAGAGAGAGAGAGAGAGAGAGAGAGAGAGAGAGAGAGATAGTATCACATTCTAATATAAAAAGAAAAGTCACAGAAGCATACCTTTTGTACACGTGCTAGCAAACGCGTAAGGTTGCTTTTTAAGCTCCTAACATGTTCAAGGTTCCTTGTGCTAACACTCATGGCAAGTTCATCAAGAACAGGATAAGCATCTCTCTCAAGTTCCGCCACATTAGAATCGAGATACATACACACAACTTCTAATGCAACCTCCAGCACCTGGAACTCAAATGGAAGTTGTTCAGCTTGCAGTCCTCCTTCAACAGTTTCTTGTAGCCATTTTCCAGCACCTGGAAATTGCAAGTCATCCTCTTGTACATCATTTGTTCCATTTGTCTTCTTTGAAGAACTCTTCTGAGGTAATTGGTGTCTCAGCTGATCAATAAAAGGAAGAACCTCTTGACGCAGAGGATCGAGCAACAACAGCTCTTCGGCAGTAACTATACCTCTTACAAACTCCAAGTTAATAACCATAGCCTTCTCCCTAGCTGCATTAAAATCAATAAGAACTCTAATGTCATCACATTAGCTACGCAAATCACGTATATGCAATGAAAGAAACAGCAGAGGTTGTGCAAAAACATTTTTGACACAAATTTAATGAATGTGTGGAGCAGCTATTGATCTTAGACAATGACTTTGGGATATTCTTTGTTGTAGAACATGTTCATGGTACTATGGTAGAACCTATATAACGATCTCACACTGTATAGATGTCATGATACACACACACATAAAGGGGTGTTTGAGTCAGGCACATCCGATAGGATTTCCATCCTGCGATCTCCACATTTGGCCTATTAAAAATCAACGGCTTTTCACTCATTAGCATCAACTATTAATTTAACCGTTGGATCTTCAATTTGTGTGAAGGTAACACTAGGAGCTTAGTTTTCCACCTTCACATTTTATCTAACTGTAAAGATGAATTCATCACTAAAACTGGTCTTATATCATCAGTAAGACTGAATTTCAAAATTTAGCTAACGATTAACCAATGTTCTAAAAGGCGCTAGTCGGGCGCCAGCCCAGCGCCTAGCGCCTAGGCGGTTAGGCTGAGACTAGTCGGAGACATAGAAATTGCATTTTTATCTATATTTTTGCATAAATATGTTAAGTAATCTTGTTTTTGTGTGTGTATAAAATACATATATACACATACATTAACAAACATGAATGATATAATTATCACATTTAATCATACGTTGTATATGATAACTAATCATTTAACTTCATTATGTTATAAATATAAATAATTATAAAATTTAGGTATATATACAAACATATAGAGTTTTTATCTTAATTTACAACTTCATTTCTTTATATTTGTGGCTAAAGTTAAAGTACTTATATCGCTTACGAAAAAAAGTAAAATAGTGTTCGGCGAATCTAGACGGCCTAGGCGGCCGATTAGGCGCTTTGAGCGGGCAACTAGGCACCATAGACGGCCGACTAATTCACCTAGACGGCAAACCAATTAGTCAGAACGCCTAGACAAAAATCGGGGCGCCCAGCCACCGCCTACTCTGCCTAGCGCCTAGGCGGGGACTAGTCGGACGCCAAGAACGATTTTTAGAATAGAGCGATTAACACTAAGTGCTGAACCTAAAGAGCTAAAAAACCTGGAACGTTGACTAAATTTTGGGCAAAAAACTTAATGTGCCTGATGGGAATCCTATGAGGCGCACCTGATATGAACTATCCCATGTGCACGTAGTCTGTCCATTTTATGTATCTTTGAGTGCATGCGTGAGAGAGAGCTATGTTGGGAAGAAAAATGGAGGAGTTAGCTCTGATATATACATACATCGGTTTCAGTTTCTCTGAATATGTAGTTATTGAAAACGATTAAAGGTATGGTTTTCTAGACTTTTTTCCTTTCATAAGAAATATTGTTGGTTCTGTTTCAAGATTCCTCAGTGAGGACTAGTCCTTCCGGATTCTGCAAAGCTGAAATACAGAGTTTTTGGATCTTCAAAGAGGTGTTTTTAGATTCACTTCCTATCATGAGGTATGAGATTTAACTTCTACAGCAGATCTATGATAGAAAGATTGGGACGCTATTAATCTGCTTCTGGTTGCACACTGTTTGCTTTGTTGCCATGACCTTGTAATCGGGTGATGCATAGGATCAGCTCGTTTTGATTTCCTTTCATAATATTGACAAATATATCTTTTTCTTAAGCTAGATTTTTTACAGCGATAATGATTCGTTGGAGAAAACTATCATGGTTTGTTTGCCTCTACTGGACCTGCAGTTATTGATGTTTTCTTGGAGGTCCTGATTGAACATTGTACGCTCCCCCCACCGTTCTTTGATTTCAATGTACGGGCACTTGCAATAAGAGAACAGGTCTGCTGCTATTCAGTTATGCTATCTACCCGTAACATATTTAAGGGAATAGAAAGAAGTCAAATTTAAGGACTGCCCATTGCATTGAAGAGCTGAATGAATCAAAATGTCAAACACATTGTATTCACGGAAAGAGAGAGAAGGGGAGATTAGGTACCGAGGATGCTGGAGGATTGAGAGAATATTGGGCCAAGGATCCTCAAGTCCCTAGTAGGAACGGAGGCGCGCTTGATGATTGAACTCTTGTCGCACTCCATCAGCTCCGATTGCCCCATCCTATCAAATCTCATCCACAGCCTTGAGCCACCTGCCTTCTTCTTCGCCGTCTTGCTCGCCCCCACATTCGGCGCAATCAAATTCCCGCTCCCGTGTCCAGATGAGTGATCTGTTGCACGTGGCGGCCTCTGTGGCGTCCCCGCCACCCCCTTCTTCTTCCTCCGCAGCGAGAATTTCCCCTTCCCCATGTCCCTCTCTATCACCCAAATCGGTAAACCGCATGCGTATCGTTACTGCTAATCCTTTACTCGATCCATAAACTTATCCTTTCCTCTACTCTTTCCATACACAACGCAACGATATTCTTTTGCTCACAGAATTTTCCCCCTGAATTGATCGTCGGTCGACAGTGGGACCATTCTTCCAACTTCGAAAGTGGAACGCAAGCTTATTCATAGGAACACACATTTTTCCCGGATTCGAGTCCTAAAAACGAGGCCACATATGGAGTATCACTTTTGTGAATGGTTTGATATCTTATATTACCTCCGTTCCCATTTTAACTTCCAAATGTGTTTGCCACAAAGTTTAAGATAGTGGATATTGTGTAGTGGAGAGTTGTGAAAAGGAGAGAGGAATGTGTAAGAAATATTGTGAACCACAAATTCTTTACCAAAAAGGGAAAGTGGAAGTTTTAATTGGAACGGATGAAAAAAGAAAGTTGGAAGTTTATTTAGGAACGGAGGGAGTAATTCATAAAAATTTTATTTATTTTTAATAAAAATATCATTGCTATGCTTAGTGTGCGACTCGTTTATTTTTTAAGGTTAGTCTTTTTCTTACTATTTAAGATATATCTACAATGAACTAGCATGAATACAATATATGAATTTAATGTAATATTATAACTTTTAAAAATGCACGAATACAGAATTTTAAAATTAATATTACATCAATATTATATGAGCATTAAGTTACGTAATGAGCATCCAAAATTCAAAAAGCTCATTTAACGGGGTTGTTTGGTTAGCGGCATACCAGCCACTTTATGGTTGATTTGGACACTATTTTCCCTTTGACCAGATAAACAGATAAAATGGAAAAGGCTGATAAATTTATCGTTTAGCTACTCGTCGTTTGAGTTCCTATTCTGCCCAAGGTCGTGTCCTCTTCTTCGTGCATCACTTCTCCTCTTCCGCTAAAAATTAAAAAAGCAGTGCATTGAAGGCTGGGTGATTGCACAAGAAGCTCACGGATGAGGGCGGAGGTTGGGTGGAAGAGCTCCACAACATTTTATGGGCCTACAGAACAACACCCCGCAGGGTGACGGGTGAAACTCCTTTCTCACTCTGTTACGGCTTTGAGGTAAAGGCCCCTACAGAGGTCACACTGCCGATTCGAAGGGGCATCACTTATAGATGCAGGTTGATCTCAACTTCATAGATGAAAGAAGGGAAAACACATTCCTGAGATCAGAAAACTACTGCCAACAAGTGAAAGGCTACTATGACTGTCACGCCCCGGACCTAGCCAGACACGTCAACAACCCGCCGTACAGTACGAATAGTCAACCGCAGTCCAACTCATCCATACTATACAAGGCGTCATGAATACCATTCACACATAGTACATCCATAAACAAACATAATGTAAAACATGCATTTAAAACAGCGGAAGCATTTAATAAAGATGTCTTAGCCACACTTTGGCAAACATGGGCATACAAGCCCCCAAATAATTATCAAAAAAATAATATCCATGAGCATTGTTATAATTGTTTTGAAAACAGGAAACAGAAGAAGCACGAACCACGTCTTCTCCCTTTTCAATCCCCAAAGCAACGGGCGCCGGTAGCAACCTTCAAGTTCTACCTGAAACTGTGAGGTGGCCTCCCCCGTGAAGGGGAGGTCAGTACTTGGAAATATTTGACAAGTACAATAGCAACTATACTAAGTATAATCAACGTTTTAATTTCCAAGACCCCCAACTTAGGGTACTATTATATTATAGGCCATAACCCTCGGTTACCCTTTTTACCTTTCACTGTACTTACTTTACATAAAGTCAAGTAGTCGGCCCGTAGGCCCATATTCATTTAGAATTCACCGTTTCCATTCCCCCGTGACCGCAAGTCACGATAACCCCGTGGGGTCCCATCGAGCCCCAATTGTATAGCATGGGCTCGGCCCAACTACATCTCTATACAATCCTCTAGCTCAATATATCATATCAAGATTTGTATGGCAAGGGCTCGGCCCAACTACGTCTCCATACCAACCATAACTTCGTGGCAAGGGCTCGGCCCAACTACGTTTCCACGGAGGTCACATATACATGGAAAGGGCTCGGCCCAACTACGTTTCCATGCTAATCATATTACATGGCATGGGATCGACCCAACTACACCTCCATGTCATCCTAGAGTCCAACTCTAATTATTTTCATAATCAAATTCTCAAGCAAGTCCTATGCCTAGAATAAATTCCCGGAGGTGGCCTTAGGCCTACCCCTATCACACCTTAGTGTTCATACCATTCATCCTTAAGTATCTCTTGAGACTACTTAAGGCATATCTATTCACAATCCTACCTCTTAGGATTTGTTTCATCATTTATTTACATTAATTCCCCGACTAGTATTTTGATACTAATTGGATAATCTTAGAACATGCCAAGTTCCTATTTCCCAATTTGCATTTCATTTCCATTGCTCTCTCAACCCAAGTATAGTTTGATCTCAATATCAAAAATATCACTTTAGTTCATTCATGAATTTCATACATGAAGTAAGTATATTTTATCACAATGTCTCATAGTAATTCCATTAACATGTCGTTCCATTCATTTCACATAATCATACACAATTATTCTAAATTTGTATATCATGCTTCACTTACTCATATCCATATTATTTTCATTTAGGCATTATTAATCATTAATAATCCATGAAAATCCCATCTAATTACTTTAGGCATTCTTATGAAATTAACTCACTAATTATAAGCAATATAGTCAGCCATCCTCACCTTATGAAGTGCTGAAATAGTTGCCTTTGCCAAGCCCCTCGATCAATCCCCGTTCTAGGCCGATTGAAGGTGTAAAACTGGACTGCTGGGCAAAAGCCGGGCGGCTTTCACGAAAGCCGGGCGGCTTTCGTGGTCTGCAACTACGACTAGCTCATTTGAAGTGGCGGTTTCCGGCGGTTTCGACTCCTATCGATTGGCCAACCCTCCTAAGTTAATTACCACCACTTTATATCAATATTCTACACTTTTAAACGTGTAGAACTCATGATTTAATCCACCATATTATTTCTTAAAAATCATACAATAATAAAACTAGTTAAAGATTGTTTATTGAGTTCTTACCTCAAAAACAACCCTCTTCTCCTTGGATTCTCTTCCTTGCTGCTTGGACTATGAGAGGAGACTTCCCTAGAGCTTCTCTCTCTGCCTTGGCCGAGTGGATGGGTGAGGAGATGCTAGGATGAGTGATTAACACCATCCACCTAAGTCCACCCATAAAAACAAGGGAGTAGGGTAATGGTGGGTATGAGTTTTGTCTCTTGGAGACTTCCCACCTACTAGGTACACCCCCAGCTGCTTCCTTGTCATGTGCAGCACATTGGGTCGTGGGGTGGCCCCCACTCATGTGGGAGGTCATCCCCTTATGCCCCGATGTGTATAATCGACCCCGAAAGTTGTATTTTTCGGACTGTTTTAGTCATATTTTAATTTATCGGGCCGGATAAAATATATCACGCATTTCCAATAATTATGGGTCTTTAGAATAGATATACATTCCCCAACATTAATTTAGGAGCCTCCGAAACTCATTTCGGGCTGTTATCTGCTAAATTACCAATACCGGTAATTGGGCCCCGTTTGACCAACCGATCAACTCCATGCCTTCATTATGGCCCAAATAAAATATCCACCACCATATAGATGTCATCTAGACCAAGATGAATATAATATGTGGTTCGGGAATTATCGGGCGACCCCCCGGTCCGGACGTGGGCCCCACATGCAATTTACTATTCACGTAAAAGAATTAATAAAAATTTACATTTACGCAATTTCATAAATCATCTTCCAATGTTTATTACATAATTTACTAAAAGTAAATATGCTCGGGGTCGGTGTTACAATGACGGCCGAGTCTGAGGTCGGGAGTTCCAAGTGGGGGACTACGTCCTTAGAAGGCGCATGGCAAAACAACCAACAGAGGGAGGCAAGATGGCCAAGAAATTTGAGGGCCCCTATATCGTAACTGTCGTGGTCCGACCCGGAACTTACAAGCTCAGCACTCCCAAAGGCACGGAGATTCCAAGACTATGGAACATCCACCACCTGGTAAGGTACTACCAGTGATCCAACGGTTGTAAAGGAGACAATAAGCCCTCGCTAAACGGAGACTTTGCACAGTTGCATGCAACAGAAATGCAGGGTCACTGCTAGCAGCCTTAGCCATGCACTGTAAGTTGTTCACGACAATCACGAAAATCAACAAAGAAAGGTGATGGAGTATATGGCCCGGGGACCCCCGGCCCACAGACTCCTGCCCCTCCTACACGGGCCCATCAAGCCTAATGAACACACAAAGACCAAACAAAGTGGCCCAAGCATGAGGAAGCCCACGTTGCACATGTAAATGCCTTCGGCTCTATGGCCGAAGTTTCCAAATTGTAGAAGGTAACTTGATATGGACCTGCTAGACTTCTGAGCATTTTTGGGCAAAATGTTAGCCTTCGACTTTTCCACGCCCACGGCTGTATATAGCCTTCGGCATTCATACCATGCCCTCAGTATTCCACACTTGTGCCTTCGGCATACAGCAGACTCAACAAAGTGATCGGGCTAAACTTCCAAGTGTACAAGTGCCGATATAGTAATAAATTCCGGTAAAATACCGGGTCGAATCCACAAGGAAACGTTGTTTAATTCAAGTCCGAGAGTAGATTACTTTAAATGAAGAATTGAATAAAGTGCAGGGATTTTGATTTGTGTTTTATATTTTTGGTTTTTTCACTTTTTGTTCAACAAGATAATCGTTAACTAACTTTGAGTTCAAGATAAATGATAACAACAACTAAGGCTTCGGGAATCACTTAAATGCTTAAATAAGGTTGAATATTAGTTATTTGCCAATAATTATGAATCAGATGTCGCTAATATATTCTCAACTCCGGTTAAGGCAGCGAGAGCGTGGTTTTCGTTACGTGTAAGTCCCGTTACGGCTTACATTCATCTACCGAAAACCCCGTTGAATATCAAGACATCACACCTGTATCATATAAGACCGGATATATTTCTATTCTCGGTACTATATATGTTTATACTTTAATGTTCATAGTTTAGACTTCAACGTTAATTGCAAGTATAAACTAAATTTAACATACTTCTATGATGTACACCATAGTCATAAATAATCAATATATAAAGGATAAATCACAATTTATTTGTTTAGAACTTTTATCAAACATCTAGTGGGCATAGAAGTTCATCCCTAGCCTTAGCTAAGAAATTAGCCTCTAATGCTCATATTAAACACAA